ACTGGTTGGGCACGCACCTGACCTCTTTCCCATGCTGAGCTAATCTTCGCATTTCCCTTAAACTAGAACAACCCATATCCATCTAATCTAGGTCTACCTCTGACTAGACCTTCATGCCTAAGGATGTGTCTTACCAACCTGTCTCGCCTATTTCGTATTAACTTCTGTTCTCTTGTGTTCCATTCTTTTTAATAACTCTTCATTTCTAAACTTATCTATCCACGGTATCCTCATCATTCGTCTGTAACACTACAGTTCCACCTAACCTAACCTAACATTTTCTTTTCCGACGTACCCACTGTACATGTTTCGCACCAGTAGAGCGCCGTGCGTCAAACATACACCTTTAACAACCACTTTCGAATTTCTAAATTAACCGTTCGCGAGGATAGAAGTGACTTCTTTTTATTGAAGGCGACTCGACCCAGCTCCTACTCTGCTTTATATTTCCTACTGCTACTTCCTAGATACCTAAAATCAGCCATCTCTTTCTAATTTTTCGTCTCCTATCTTTATATTCGCTCTTTCCCTAATTTTTCTTCCCTTGCATACCGGTATTTTTGTTTTACTTTTATTTATTTTTATACAGTACTGTTTTGTCAATAACGCTTCCATTTTATTTAAAGCTATTTCTAACTCCTCCTATCTGGATGCTAATACTGCTATATCATATGTAAATCTGAGCATACTAATTTTTTGCCACTGCATATCTATCCTCAACAGGTAAAGTACTAGCCCAAGAATAATGTATTCTCAGTTTTGAGTGAATTTTATCAAAATTTTTAATGTTTGTTAAATGGATTCAATTTATAAATTGTTTTCATTTCTAAAACTGCGTATAATATCTACTTACTAAAATAGAATTATGTATCTATATACTAAAATAACATAAGCATATTTTCTTTCCAGGATTCACTTCTTTGTTGTTCTTCTTCTTCTGTTTTTTTTTTTTAATTTTCCAAATATATATAAAATATATTTATTATGTATACAAAACTGTTAGAATGAGAACACAATTCAAGGTTTTTATTGTTAAATACTATTACAGCCTTCTACTATACAGAGTAATGTTTTATTTACTTTTGCATGAGGTGAAAACTTTGCAGATTCCATTATGAGTCATTTATTAATTTATTCAACGTTTTTTAACATTCATCATAAAAAAATCGCGATTCGTATACACTTTCATCACACTTTAATTGGAAGTTTCGCTACCAGATAGAGCAGTCCATATGAAGGATCCTAAAAGGGGCTGAATATTCGCTTTATTGTTTGTTAAAATGACTGGTTTGCAGACTAGCAGACAAGTCGTTAGTTTTGCTATGTGCATTTGTATTTCGTCTTTTGTGAACTTGTAACTTTATACCATTATAACAAACAGAAGTAAAAAAGAATTGTTAGTCGAATCCCTGTACACGAAAATGCCGAAGAATTTGAATAGTCACTAAATTAACTTAACTTAGTTGTTTTTCGCATAATCTATACCTCGAGAGGATTTGTCAACAACACCACTCGTAACAAATCGTGAATCGGTTTTTCTTTTATGTTAGTTCTACTTTGGTAAGTTGTAAAAGATGAATACGCAACAAATTATTTCACTAAAAAAGTGTTCTTACACTATCCAGTTTTAAACATCTTCAAATTGGCTTACGACAGCTCTAACAATGATAACAAATAAAGTTTGTGCTTCCTTAACGGTTTAATTATTTATTTTTAGATAAGTATGGTGAGACGGCTATGGTGTGGGTTAGGTTAGGTTAGGTTATACCGACAAGTTCGGTCATGTTGAATATTTAGTTAATTTTTGACAGCTGCTTTGCTTGCACGTGTTTTGGCTTGTCTTCGATTTTTGCCTTTTCAAAAAATGGATCAAATTTTGTGTGAATAACAAAATTTGGTGGTCGAACCAATCCGCACGTTGACTGTAGCATATGGTGACGCTACCCTGAATCGAAGCAACATTTGTCGGTGGTAAAAAATGTTCTGAGAGGGCCGAGATGATGTGAACGACGAAGAGCGTGCCAGACGCCCTAGCACGTCAACAACAGACGAAAACATTGATGAAATGAAGAAAATAGTATTGGCCAATCGTCGAATCACCGTTAGAAAAGTTGCTAAGGATCTAAACATATCGATTGGCTCCTGCCATTCGATTTTTACCAATGATTTGGGCATCAGACGGGTCACCGCAAAATTCGTACCAAAATTACTCAATTTTGACCAAAAACAGAATCGCATTAACATTGCTAAGGAGCTATTGGACTTTGTCCGCGACGACCCAAATTTGCTCCAGAGGGTTATAACTGGTGACAAATCATGAGATTATGGTTATGACGAGGAAGCCAAAGCTCAATCATTCCAATGGAAACTGCCGCACGATCCAAGACCGAAAAAAGCGCGTAAAGATAGGTCCAATGTGAAGGTTTGACTTATAGTTTTCTTCGATTGCAGGGGCGTGGTGCATCGTGAATTCTTGCCACAGGGTAGAACGGTCAATAAGGAATATTACCTACAAGTTATGCGCTAATCAATCAGCTAGAAACGCCCAGATTTGTGGAAGAACAAAAATTGGCTGTTGCACAATGATAACGCCTCTGCTCGCACATTGTAGCCCTTGCGCGAAGTTTTGGCCTTGGTCAAAAACAACACACTAATAATGCCGCAGCCACCGCATTCTCCAGATCTAGTCCCCTGTGACTTTTTATTGTTCCCGAAATTGAAGAGGCCAATGAAAAATCGACGCTATGCTTCGATTGAGGAGATAAAGACGACATCGAAGGAGGAGCTGAATAAGATCACAAAAAATGATTTTTTGAAGTGCTTCGAGGATTGGCACAAGTGTATAATACCTGGTGGGGATTACTTTGAAGGGGATAGAATATATGTTCATCAGTAAATGTACAATTTTTGGAAAAAAACGAAATTCGTAATTCTTTGTGAACAGATCTCATATATTTGGTTGCAAATTTTACCAAGGTTATCAAATAATACCTATTGATTAACAAAAAGTCCCAGAAATGGGGGCCGTTTTTCTTTCCCAGACTGGTAAAAAGTGTCTCAATGTTTACTGTAGTGGACTTTCTAAATCTGAAATGAGTCGAAAAAAAGACATATGATTTCACTACTTTTCGTATAAAAGTTTACGATCAATATGGTGCATATATTTTATTTATTGTAATGTTTGTCATGATTTTGAATCGCACTTAAAAACAATCCTTTGATAAATACGTTGTAAGTGTTTGTTTTGCCGAACTACAAAATTTAAAGTATCGGCCTTGAAAATCTATTATCACCTTTCAAAGTATACCAATGTGATGATAGTAACAACAAGAAATATACCTTCGAGTAGCGATACGCTCCTATTTTAAAATTTTTAAGGTTATACTGTATATTGTTCCTCCTGTATGTGCTTGAACTCATTATTTCCTATTTCACATTAGGATACTTCAGTTTGCTTTGGTGTAAGTACGTCTGCGTCTGTAAAATTGAGCTACACACTGAAGCATTACCAAAAACTTGACAACGAAATCGAAAAATGAAAGATCGTGCTGTAGGTTGTAACTCAACAATTGTCGTTTACACCGAAAATTAAATAGTAGGCATGAAGGTCTAGTCAGAGACATATTAGAAGCAGAAACGGAAGTTAGGAGGGGTAGAGGTAGACCTAGATTAAATTATTGTTCGCAAATAGTTAAGGATATGTGTTGTTCTTGTTTTAGGGAAATGCGAAGATCAGCTCAGGATAGGTAAGAGTGTGTAGGTGCGTGTCCAACCAGTCTTAGGGCTGACAACCTTATGATGATGAGTGAATGAATAAAAACAACCACCTACCTTTTACACCAAATTTTAGAGTAGATTTGTAACGGCCTGTATGTCTCTGTATATATGGTAGAGGTATAGTAATATTTGAACGTAAACCATATGTGAACGGGTAGTAACGTTTGGTGAAACGGGAAGAGGTTGTGGATGTGTTGGACGAGGTCCATCGATTAAGGAGAGTATTAACAGAAAGATGTATAATCTGGAGAGTTTTTAACGTCTGTAGTGTGACAAGCGCATTCCAAAACATAACGAATACCATCAATGAGACTAAAATTTTTACGTTAAATTAATTTGTGTCTTTGTTTCTTTATGTGTTTATGTATTGACAATAAAAATCAATGCCTTTTGAAGAAATTTTATTGCAGATTCCTATCAGTTTATAAAAAAGCATGTTTAATGCGTAATGTGATTGTCAATGAAAAATACATTAACCTGAAACTCCTGCAGTGCCTGACGTTCCTGGTTTTCCCGGCATTCCTGGGTTGCCCCCTGGAATAAGCAGAGGTATCCGTATAATAATATCCGCTCAGAGCAAATTCAACATTCTAAGTATGTATTAAGCAACAGCTAATTTACCTGCTCCACCACTGCCTCCTTCTCCACCTCTGCCTCCTTGTCCACCTCTGCCTCCTTGTCCACCTCTGCCTCTTTCTCCATCTCTGCCTGCTTGTCCATCTCTGCCTCCTTCTCCTCCTCTGCCTCCTTCTCCACCTCTGCCTCTTTCTCCATCTCTGCCTGCTTGTCCATCTCTGCCTCCTTCTCCTCCTCTGCCTCCTTCTCCACCTCTGCCTCTTTCTCCACCTCTGCCTCCTTCTCCACCTCTGCCTCCTTCTCCACCTCTGCCTCTTTCTCCATCTCTGCCTGCTTGTCCATCTCTGCCTCCTTCTCCTCCTCTGCCTCCTTCTCCACCTCTGCCTCTTTCTCCACCTCTGCCTCCTTCTCCACCTCTGCCTCCTTCTCCACCTCTGCCTCTTTCTCCACCTCTGCCTCCTTCTCCACCTCTGCCTCCTTCTCCACCTCTGCCTCCTTGTCCGCCTCTGCCTGCTGGACTTGGAGTTCCTGGAGTGCCCGGCGTTCCTGGTGTTCCTGGGTAACCACCTAGCAGGGATATTTGATATAATTGAGTTTGAGAAACTCTGAAGTTCTTAGATTTTTATGAGCAACAGCTGATGGTTAACCTATTCCACAAACGCCTCCTTAACAAGCCTACCTTCGCCACCAGCGCCACCTTGTCCACCGCTGCCTGGTTGACCTGGAGCTCCTGGAGAACCTGAGAAGTTATGATATTGTTAATAAACCTCTTCTAAATTTGTTTATTGATTATTGAAGCTGTTCCCCTAAGAAACTTTTTAAGATTACGTGACTTCCTAATAGATTAGTATAAGTGCCTTGGTTGAGATATTGGTGAAATGTACAATAATGAAATAAATATATATCACTTGATAAAAATCATTATTGATTCAACCCTCCCCAATTTTTCGAATTTGTAAGCAAATATTCTAATTAATTTATGCTGACCAAACGTTTTGAGACAAATTTTCGATACGGTACGAGTTAATCCACCTAATTCATTTAAGTCAATAACTAATTAATTACTATTATACAAAGTATTGTGTTGTTTACCTCTTGAACCACCTTGACCTCCACTACCACCAGTTCCCTGGTAACCTCCTAATATGTGAAATTAAAGACATAAGTTTTTGGACAAATAATGATTTTTCAAATTTATTACTTCCTCCTGTGCCACCAGTTCCTCCACAAGCTGTTACGTTTCCTGCGTAAGGATAATTATAGGTACTTGATTGTAAGTCCCACACAGTTCCCGCGACACAAGCAAATGAGTATTGAGTAAAACCACCTTTGACTTCGTCAACACATCTATAGAATTTAGTGTAATCCTTGGGATCTCGCAAGAACTCATCCTGAGCGCATGTATGACCCAATTGACTAACCTGAAGACTGTTACTGGAAATCTTATTGTTGATAAGTGGTTTTTGTGTCGACTGTTGCTGCATTGGTGGATTTTCTTGTATTGGTTGCTAGTTCTTCACCTGGAAATAAATTGAAATGGTACTCAATGAATCATTTGATTGTTTTATTTAGCATTATGATGTTTCAGACCGTGTTACAAAAATAGGGATACACTTAAACAAGCTATCTTAAGAAAAGTCATCTTATATAAACCGGTTATAAGCATTTGAAATGTGGTGTTACAGGCGAATGATGAGGATACCGCGGATAGAGGTTAGAAATGAAGAGATTTTAAAAAGAGTAAGAGAACAGAGGACTCTATGGAAGTCAATAAGAAATAGGCGAGATAGGTTAGTAGGACACCTTCTCAGGCATGAAGGTCTAGTCAGAGACAAACTAGAGGCAGAAACGGAAGTTAAGAGGGGTAGAGGTAGACCTAGATTAGATTACTACTCGCAAATGCGAAGATTAGCTCATAATAGAAAAGAGTGGAGGTGCGTGTCCAATCAGACTTAGGACTGACGACCTTACGATGATGATGATCTAAATAGGAAATGTAAATTATTTCTAAAGGGTCCTATTCGTGTCTGAATTTCTTTAAGTTTATGTCCCTGTTACGATATAAAATATTGTTATGACAACCTTCTGCTTATTGAATTACCTTATTCTCTTTGCTCCTCTAAGTGAAGGTATGTTCGTTGTATTGCATTGTATGAAATTTCTTGGAATTCTGTCAATAAGTAAAAACTCAAATTAAGTGCAGCATTTGATCTAAATCAACATATAAAACATAATATGAAAATCACTACTAAAAAGGCATTAACTACATCTATTATAATTACAGCTATCAAGAATCCTGTCATTGTTCTCTTTAAATGTCACGAGATTGATTTTGCAGTTATATCAAATACAATTTCATCGATTCAATATTTCATTGCAATGTGCAAATTAGTGTTCAAAAGTACTACCATAAATTAAAAACAATCTGTCACTTTGTTAAGCGTGACATCGATTCAAGTATTGGTTTTGAAACAGGTCATCCATTCTACAATACACTAGCTAAGATGTCAGAAAATGTGTCAATATTGTAAGTCAACATATTAGTTATATTCAATTTATAAGTATATGTAAATCATCTAGCGTTTGAAAATCTACACTATTAATTAAAATATGTAATTACTTATTGGAATATGATTGAATCAACTCAATTTTCGCCTGTTTGCAGATCATAAGTGCTTTTTCTAATCATAAGACCATTATTAGCGGTAACCCAATTATAGTGGTAACATGAGATGTTGAATTTTTGAAGGATATACAATGAGATAACGATCTTCGTTTTTCTTTTAAACTGAAACCTTTTATGCGAGCCCACGAAGTAGCGCTAGTGTGTAATGAGCGTTACAATGAGCTTAACCAACAAATTTATTTCTGTGCACTATTTATCCTTATCTAATGACCACGTGTACAAGCAGAGAAAAGGAGGTACAAAGAGGGAAAGTAATCATTAACGTAGGAAAACAGTGTGGAGGCTGTCAAAAGGAAAGCGGCGATGTAGCATGTGCCTAGATTCTATTGGCTACCGCACCGCCCACATGTAGTATGCTGGGTAGCTGTCCTTCAATGTTACGTCATTTAACTTCCTGTAGTCCACACAAAATCTTATGAAACTGTTCTTCTTGCGTACGCACGCTATCCGGAATGCCCAAGAAATTAGATATGATTCTATTACTCCTTGCTTATGCATGACTTTATAAGATTATTGACTTTATCTTGCTTCGCCCAAGGAACTCTTCTAGGTGTTATTTTATGGTCCTTGCTGTTCCAGTTTTAATGCGCTGGTATGTTAAATTTGTCTTACCAAAGTCTTGATCTGAGAGGGCGAAGACGTATTGAATACGGTTAAAAAGTTCTTCCAATTGCTTGACTTGATACTTGTTAAATTTCACAGGCAGATATTCGGGAACTTACTATTGTAAGTGGAATATCAGCACACGCGTTAAATTAATAAGGCGTGTTGTTTAATTCTTTGGTGGAAGGTAGAAAAAAATATAACTCTTGCAGCGAAGTCGACTTAATTATATATTTACAATATATGTACNATATTCGTAGCGGTTAATATTAAACATTAATTTGAAAATTTATTCTTAATTTTTATTCGCTATAAGTTACCACAAATTAATGAGGAAAAATTTGTTGCTGTTTTAACACCTTCGAACCCCGGATCTTTGGCTTTACGAACCAATGCTCTGACCACTTAGTTACAAGAAATGACAACAGCAACAGCTACGAATCGTACTTATTTAGTCGCAGATCCAACAAATGCATATATATATTGTTACGTATTTAAACACTTGCGCAAGTTTGGCCTAGAGGTCTAGACCATTGCTTAGCATTCGGGAGGACGCCGGTTCGATTCCGGGTCGGTCCGTCTGCATTGGTCCAAGTTTTTCTGTGGTTTCCCTGGATCATTTAGGCAAATGCTGGGGCAGTAATATTCCACAGATAATCTTTCATTCTCTTCTGTCTTCATTTCGTCCGTCTCATCTTTCTCACCCGAACCACCACCCACCCATTCCCACGATTCCTGAAAGCAGGCTAAAGAGGGCCTTCCGCCCTACCTTCCGGCATAGTCCGGAGGGACTGCCCGCCCACCAGCATTACTGGATAGTGGGAATGAAACACCCAAAAGTTATTTTTTTTGCTACTTTTATTTAACGTCGAGTAACGGTGTATGGACCATTCCAAGCCTGTTGTAGTTTCGGGCAACGTCCCTACCGCCTTAATGGATTATATGGCCATGCTTTACCGCCTTCGTTGAACCCAGCAGAATTGGGTCGTCGATCGTATCTGGGCTTCATGCGGTAACTTTCAAATTGCAGCTTCGTACGCACAAGATTATGACTTGTAGTCGTTCTCGTAGTTCGCTCACATATTTGTCTGTAGTTACTGGCGAGTCTTCAAAACGACTAAACATCATTCCGGCTAGTTACCCGAGTTCTTTTCCCAATAAAATTGTGGCTGGTGTTCTTCCAATTGACTCATGGATGGAGGATGTACAAGCCAGGAAGAATAGGTGGTATGTATCGGTCCCAGTCACTCTGGTATTTGTTAATGACGCTTCTTAAATTGGTCTTCAGAGTAGCGTTAAATCGTTCAACCATTCCATCAGACAGTGACGGTCTCCCGTAACCTATACATCCTGGTGGTGATGGATTACTTTAGCAAGTGGTCCGAAGCTTATGAATATCAAATCAGGAAGCACACACCGTCAATGACGATATGGCCTACCACTGGAATTGCATTCCGGCCAAGACAGGAACTTCGAATCGGCTTTGTTCACATTACTTCTTCTTATCCAATTCATTTCTAATGTCGTTTATCTCGTCCTCCATTCTCGTATTTATTGCTTCCTGTACTTCTTCCATTTTCTGTTTCATTTCTCCCTGAGTCGCTTTCATCTCTTTGTTCATTTCTTTATTTCTTTCTGTCCTTTTTGTTGTTGGGTGGCCTACATATATGTGACAATATTAATATTAATAATAAACAGCAACAAAATGTTCCTCATTAACTTGGAATAACACACTATAAAGATTGAGAGTGAATTTTGAACATATTGTAAATAATTGTATTATATTGGCAACACTGCCTTTTAATTAATTATAAATCTTTAGATTGTTACCAGCGCGTCTACCATCTAGACGTAAGAACCTACAACCCATTTTACCTAGCAACATTTTCCGCTTGTATTAAGTATTGATGTACTAGATAAATAAAAAAACTTTGAACTCACGAAAAAAGCTTGGTAACCTTCTCAGTCCCCACAACGTTTTTAAAATAAATTTTTTAAAAACAACTTTCGGAGGACTTAAAACAAAACTAAGTGATGTCGGTTTTGTCTCGGGTTCTTCTTCTCGGTAACAGTGGTCCAGCTACTTGTTCAAATACACACAAGTTTGTGCTTTTGCAGATCTTTTACTTGAAATATTTCAAATTGCCTACTCTGACAGGTATCGATGGTGTTCCACCTTACGAGGGTACGTCCTACCAATAGTGCATTCTGAGTCAAGTCATGGTTGTCTGGTTTTAATGTTCGTCGCCGATTCTGACTTTTACAATACTCTCGGAGTGACTCGGTAGTACTCGATCTTCCTCTACGATCACCTTGTAGGCAGCAAGCTTTGTCTTAGAATTTAACATTACTATTTCTTCTCCACCGATGTACATTGTAGAAGTGCACAGATCATGACATCATCTACTATGTCTGCCCCCAATTCCCATCTGTATAAGATCACATGTCCAATTCTAATTTTGACGTTGCGTTCTCCATGGATTAGTGAAGTCTCCCCGGTAGCTGTAGTCAAAATCAGTATTCTAGCCAAAGGTCTAATTCGCCATTCCGATACCATATCTTAGCAAACGATGGTGTTTGATACTCGTGTATTGACAACCATTCGAACATTATGCTGATTTATAGAGCCTTCTATAAATAATGAGTTAGCACTGTGCAGTCTTGAAATGATGCCTTCTTCGGAGACATGATGAGGGTGAGCCAATTTGCGCCCCCTAAAATTGACCAATCTTAGTTTTCCGACTGTTCTGTTTATTTGAGGAGCACTTTCGGCTTATGTGCCCTATTTTCTCACAATTCCAGCACCTCAGACGACCATTTTAGTTGTTGCAATCCCGAGCAAAATGGCCTGTTCTTCCACAATCCCTACATTTTGAGTTCAATTCTCCCGTGTTTCTAGTAGTGGCTTTCATGACATTGATTACTCATTCCGTAATGAGCGACATGGCACCTTCTTTTGTAATTGGTATATCATTAATGTCTGCTTGTCGCACCCGTACATGACCTTCGGAAGCTTGTTTCGCCACTTCAAACACCAGGGCGTGGGATAGTGCTTTACTTGGAATTTTATGAGGTGCTGATCTTTGGACTTGCTGTAGTTCAGCGTCCCTAACTCAGTCGATAAGTGTTTGCACTGCTGGTTGGTCTTGAGGGGCAGAGGGGAAGGCACTCCACATCTGACTCAAATTGTTGAAG